CCTCCTCCTCCTCCTCCTCCTCCTCCTCATCATCATCATCATCATCATCATCATCATCCTCGAAGGCCAAGTCCGTCTCAACTGGACGCCGTCCGAACGGCTCGGCGCCACCTCGTGCTTCACCGTTCATCGCATCGCGGCGTCGGCCCACACCCTGTGGCCTCAGATGTCCACCACATCCGACCAAGACGGGTAGGCAGATGCGTCAACCAGGCGTCGGGGAGGACAACAGTCGCCAGTTGCCTTGGCAGACCAAGGAGCGCGAGGCGGCACGGAAAGAGGAGGAGGAGGACAGTCTTGGAGCCTTTGAAAAGAACGAGGCTCTTTTCACCTCCGGCGTCTGGCTGGTTCGTGGTGAGCTAGTCACCGCCTCAACCGGACTGGCTCAGACCAGTTAGAGGCTGTTTCAACCGCCTCCAAGCCCTAACTACCCACTTACCTCTTCGTTCTTCATGCCTTTTAGGCTGTTGCTTCCTATCTCTCGACGCGGAAGTGTTCAGGTTGTTGTATGCAACTCCACCATTGTCACCTTTACACGACAACACACACACAAACACGCACTCCTGCCTGGCATGTATGATGAACGTGGCTTCACGGAGCTGACGTTGACGATGGTACCCTCGTCTACTCCTTTACACACACACACACATATATATATATATATATGCATGCACAGTATTCCCATTCACTCCTTTTCTCACAGACACACATGAACGCACACGCACACGTATTTAGGTGGATCGGATAGACAGAACAGACGAGCATGTAAAAGCCTACTACGCTGGGCGTGTCTGGGAGTCTATATGCACGTGTCCTAATTTCCCGTCATTTTTTTGTCTTCTTACCTCTTTATTTCGCTTGACCTGCCTTATACTGCCGTCGAATTATGCGATAGCCCAACGTATCACCCTTCAAGCCTGGGTATTTTGTTCCATCCAGCCTTATCGCTCTGATTCAACTCTGTCGAGCACTAGTTGTGCCAATTAACCCAGCAAATGAGTAGGGCCTATCTGTACGCAAACATTTGTGTATTTTTATCGTTATTCTTGCATTTTTATTTATTTTTGTTGATCTGCTTCACTTAAAAGATCCTTTCTTGAACGTTGGGCTTTAAGCAATCCATGATTAAATCATAACCGAGCAAAAGTAAAACATCTACTATGTATGCATAGTCTCCTTCGAGTGATTTCGCCATCATCTTGTTTGACCCCTCTTCACATCTAGGGCTACTCTGACGATAATACTATTTCATTTCTGCCCGTTTCTGTTGCTTTTTTCTCTTTATCTCGCATCTCTCTCGGGATTGCAACACAAAGCAACTAAAAATTGTATCTAGTCCAATTCTCGTTCTCCTGACAAGATGGGCTATTTAAGGGATGAACTCGAGCTTGATGCGGGTTTTACATCTTGACTTAACAGCACCTTTTGGCTTAGCTCATCCGAGTCGGTTGCCTTGTCACAATTTTGCTTGAAACTCTTATTTCGGTCTACAAAGTGACTTAACAGTCAGTATTCATTATTGCCTTTTCTCGTAGTTCACCCTGTCACTATCGGATTGTGGCTCTCCTACTTAATGCCAATCTTTCTGTAAAGGAGACATTTTATCGCGCTACCTTGTCGCTAACAGCCCAATTATGACGGAAGACGCCAACATAACAATAGCGAAATATGTAACATCTAAGGACAGGTGATGAAGGACTGGCAACGAATGTTCCAAATATTAGAAGAGTAGGCCTTACGTCTCTATTGACTTTCATATAATGTTTCCCAAAGGGTATTTTCATCTAGCCTGGGGTGGACTACAGTTTCGACCCCGCCTAGATCCCGTAAGCACCACCAGTGGTAATTGAATCTGGCTTGTGGAGGTGCAGTGTAGAATCTCGACTTGCCACCACTCGTACCATTGTGGGAAAATTGAAATCACAGTCTTTCTCACGCACAACTTTGGGTGACCAAAACTCTTATTCATGATCATGTGACAGTACCGAAATACTACTCAATTAGAATGGCAAGTAGGTTTCGCAACTGATAATAGCTCTATTTCTTAAGACTTGATGTACCTTAGATTGCTTGGAGTGATAGAAGTCCTGATAGTTGAGGTTTACAAAAGGAGGGGAATAGTCTTTCTGGTACTGTTGAAGGGTAGGTGAGACTTTCAAGGCAAGCCATGCCTATACACAAATTACATTTATTGTTGGATTGTAGACGAGGCAAACTTATAACTTTCTACAACACTGCTATACGCCATTTTATCATGTTTGGGCCTATCAGCAGACCTTGATTAAGCATTCTGATGGGAACTTCAATTATCAGTTCCTTCATAAGCTATACTTGTCGTTTGCATTAGTGTTGACGACTGTAATTGCAAATCTCTGTCTATCTATTTATAATATAAAATGTATCCACCCTATTTCGTCTAAGGTGATGAAGGACTGGTAGTAGAATTTTTCCACAATGATATGAGTTGAGCTGA